CAAACTGGCTTCCAAAATGGAAGGTGTCCATGGTGACGCTCTAGGACTATGGCAAACACCACAGAGACTGGGTACTGCGAGAACGTCACGACCATCAATTTTCCACAGGTAACCTCGCATTCCCCCCAAAATCCACCCATGTCAGGTGCTGCCCTGAAATGTCCCAGCATTTGCAATGGTAATCCCCCGGAGCATTGGGGGGAGGGGGGAGACGAGACATGATCTCCTCTTTCGAAACAGGAAGTGACATCAGGATACATGATTGTGAAATTCCTAGAGTGTCATGACATCACTTCTGTTCCAACCTTAGTGACAACGGTGTGTGGGACCTGAGCCCACATGTGGAATACCCATCCACTCACTTCAGGTTATACGCTCAGAATTCTTAAAATTACTGAACACAACTCCATCCCCTCTCCAGCTATGTCTGGCCAGACCAGCAGTCCCCTGCCTTGTTCAGCCAATGACCAATTTAAGAATGTTAAGAAAGGTTTGTGAGTGCCACCACAAAATGGCCACCCTTTGGGCAAGGCGTATTCCAAATGGCTGCCATTCAGGAGAAGCCTATTACAAATGTTGGGTTTTTTTTCTGAGGAAAAGATACTCTCTGCTTTCAGATTCCACAGGACGGGGAGGGTTGACTTCCAGCCTGGCCACGGGGAGAAGGGGGCCGAGTCGAGTAACATAAGAACGTCAGGACGGACAAAAGGAAGTACTCCTAAATCCCACAGTTCCCCCCACAGTGGACGTAGTGAAGCCTATGTCCATAAACGGCTTTAAAAGGGAATCAGACAAATTTTTGGAAGAAAGGCCTAACAGCGGCTACTAACCAAGATGACTAAAAAGAACCTCCACGTTCAGAGGCAGCACACCTCTGAATGACGGCGCAACAGGTGGCAACCTCAGAAGTAGGCCTCAACCTCTTTGCCCTGTTGTTGGCTGCCCAGAGCAACTGGCTGGCCCCTGTGTGAGACAGGAGGCTGGACTAGATGGACCCTCACTGATCTGATCCAGCAGGGCTCTTCTGATGTTCTCATCAGGGAAAGGCCCCGGGCTCTCTGCCCTGTTGTGGGCCCTCCAGAGGAACTGGTTGGCCACTGTGTGAGACGGGATGCTAGACTAGATGGGACTACAGATCTGATCCAGCAGGGCTCTTCTGATGTTCTCATCAGGGAAAGGCCCCGGGCTCTCTGCCCTGTTGTGGGCCCTCCAGAGGAACTGGTTGGCCACTGTGTGAGACGGGATGCTAGACTAGATGGGACTACAGATCTGATCCAGCAGGGCTCTTCTGATGTTCTCATCAGGGAAAGGCCCCGGGCTCTCTGCCCTGTTGTGGGCCCTCCAGAGGAACTGGTTGGCCACTGTGTGAGACTAGGAGCTGGACTAGAGGGGCCCTCACTGGTCTGATCCAGCAGGGCTCTTCTGAGGTTCTTATCAGGGGAAGGCCTCGGCGTCTCTGCCCTGTTGCTGGTCCTCTCTAATAACTGTCTGGCCACTGTGTGAGACGGGATGCTAGACTAGATGGGACTACAGATCTGATCCAGCAGGGCTCTTCTGGTGTTCCATGGAGACTGGGAAGATTCAGACCAGTATATACAGCTCCCCCCCCCCCCAGCAACCAGGGCAGCTGGCAAGCTCTGATTGACGCAAACATCAGGCGAGCTGACAACCTACAAGCCTTCCCCCCCAAAGGCATCCCTCATGTAAAGTATGTCCCCCAGGAGAATCGGCCCGGGGCACAGGGTATGCCTCACGTCAGCTTCTGCCAGTGAAAGACTATTTGCCTCCTTAATCAGTTGTAACATCTGCCTCTCGCACAGCGGCCTAAACAGGCCCTCTGCTGACAAGATCACTGCCGCTTTGACAGCATCTGACGGACCAGTTCAGGAAGGGAAGGGAAGGGAAGTCACGGCACCTGCAACCCTCTGCATTGGGATCCGTGGACCAAGGGGAACAGCAGGATTGAAGTGGCATTGCTGAAGCGCAGCAACAGAACCTGTGGGGAGGGGCCGTGGCTCAGTGGCAGAGCCTCTGCTTGGCATGCAGAAGGTCCCAGGTTCCATCCTTGGCATCTCCAATTAAAAGGACCAGGCAGTAGATGATGGGAAAGACCTCTGCCTGAGACCCTGGAGAGAGATAGACAGGGGCTGTGGCTCAGTGGCAGAGCATCTGCTTGGCATGCAGAAGGTCCCAAGTTGAATCCCTGGCATCTCCCGTTAAAAGGACCAGGCAGTAGATGCCTGAGACCCTAGAGAGGCATAGACAGGGGCAGTGCTCCCTCTAAGCTGTGGAGTCTTGTGAGCAAAAATTCTACTTTGTGAGCTACTGACCTTAACGTTGTGAGCAAGAGATTTGGCTATAGCATAAATTAGTTTGCTCTGGAGCCATCCTTCCTGAGCTAAGACAAAAATGTGTGAGCTGGAGGCTAAAAAACTGTGAGCTGGCTCACGCTAACTGAGTTTAGAGGGAACACTGGACAGGGGCCATGGCTCAGTGGCAGAGCCTCTGCTTGGCAGGCAGAAGGTCCCAGGTTCAATCCCTGGCACCCCCAGTTAAAAGGAACAGGCAATACGTGATGGGAAAGACCTCTGCCTGAGACCTTGGAGAGACAGAGACAGGAGCTGTGGCTCAGTGGCAGAGCATCTGCTTGGCATGCAGAGGGTCCCAGGTTCAATCCCCGGCATCCCCAGCTAAAAAGGACCAGGCAGGAGGTGATGGGAAAGACCTTCTGCCTGAGACCCTGGAGAGACAGAGACAGGGGCTGTGGCTCAGTGGCAGAGCCTCTGCTTGGCATGCAGAGGGTCCCAGGTTCAATCCTCGGCATCTCCAGTTAAAAAGACCAGGCAGCAGGTGATGTGAAAGACCTCCGCCTGAGACCCTGGAGAGCCGCTGCCAGTCTGAGCAGACAGAACCGACCTTGACGGACAGATGGTCTGATTCGGCAGAAGGCCGCTCCGTGTGTACAAAAGACAGTGGTCTTCTTGAAATCCTTGAAAGCTTCTGCCAGCTGAGACAGACGGTCGACCTCAGAGTAAGGCAGCTTGGTTGGTTTTGATGTACTTAAAAGGTTTTTAGGCTTGATGATGCCTTCGTTTCTGATGTAAGGGCCAACAGTGGGGGGCGCGGGAGGGGGAGTGGGGGGGGGAGACTCGACAGCCACCTGTAATCTTTGGAAAGCGTTTGGCAGCCTCTGCAGAGACGAAAGCAGACAAACTCTTTTCTGTGGCCCCAGAAGGTCGGGCCAGAACCAAGGGGTTGAAATGAAATCAGAAGAGTTTTCGGCTAAGTATTAGAAAGAACTTCCTGACAGTCAGAGCGGGTCCTCGGTGG